CTCTATGAGGGAGAAAGAAAATTAAGGAACCCGCGAATATTGGCAAAACTACAACTAGTGTTAACCAAGGAAAATAATTCATGGTAAAAACAAGATAAACTTGGACCAGAAAAACCCGTGCTCAAAATAAATATTTTTTGAGCGCGGGTTTTTGTCGGTAAAGGTAAAAAAAATGTATTTCAAGTAGGGTTTTCTGGAACGTATTAATAAGCTAGACCCATACTTCGAGTTGTTTCATGCCATAAATAAACTCGAACACTCAAGAAATCCGTTGGACAGGCGGATTCACATCTCTTACAACCGACACAGTCCTCTGTTCTTGGAGCGGAAGCAATTTGCTTAGCCTTACATCCGTCCCAAGGTATCATTTCTAATACATCTGTTGGGCAGGCTCGCACACATTGAGTGCACCCTATACACGTATCATAAATCTTTACTGAATGTGACATTGGATCTATAAATTTTTAAATGTCAGAAATTTTCGATCTAGTAAACTTGTAAATGAATCATATATTTAGACACCAGATGAATCAATAATTTATCAGAATTTTTATAATCAATCTACTTCTGGATCGACCCGTGCGATAGAACCAAGATACTTTGATTTCTTACATTGATTTTTTACATTTTCGAAAACATGTATTATACGTAATGTATGGTCATGGTAATTATAATTTATGAATATTAGAATTTATATGATTATTAATACTACTTATTCAACAAATTTGATTGATTGATACGAGTTGATTTTCTGTTACGATAAATTGACGAAACAATAGCCGGACCAATAGCTGCTTCAGCGGCTGCAATAGCTATAACAAAAATTGAGAAAATATTTCCTTTTAATTGGCGACTATCAAAAAATCAGAAAATGTTACGAAATTTATATTAACCGCATTCAGTATAAGTTCAAGACACATAAGGGCTCTAACCATATTTCGACTCGTGATCAATCCATAGATACCGATAGAAAATAAGTAGGCACTCAAAACAAGTACATGCTCGAGCATCATTGACCAACTCCTTATCAATTTCGATTCATTTCAATATGAACTGAACAACAATTAAACAGATTCAATTGACTAGAATAAAAAAAAGTACGGAACAAAGGAATATATTCTATTGGTAATAGAATAGATTGAATAAAATAATTTATATTTTAGACATAAAGAACCTTTAATTGAAGGGAAATAAATGTAATAAAACAGAACACAGTTTAATTTGGATTGCTGTTGCCAATTCTATAGATTTATTACTGTCGCGCCACGGCAATTGCACCTATCAAAGCGGCTAAAAGAATTATCGAAACAAATTCAAACGGAAGAAAAAAATCCGTTGATAAATGAATTCCAATTTGTTGACTATTACTTATCAAATCTTGTTCTATAATCTGGTTTGATCTTGTAGTCCAAATAATCCCGTACCATGACGTATCTGTAATAGTAATCATGAGTAAAACAAAAATACTTGTACAAACTGGCAAAGTAACCCCATCCCCAACGGTCCAAAGATTCAAATCTTTGTAATATTCTGAACCATTCATAAACATCACAGCAAATACGATTAAAACATTTATAGCTCCCACGTAAATAAGGAGTTGTGCAGCAGCTACAAAATAGGAGTTTAATAGAATATAGAATAAGGATATACAAACAAGAACCAGTCCCAATGAAAAGGCAGAATAAATGGGGTTGGTAAATAATACCACTCCCATACCTCCTAGTATAAGAACCGATCCCAGAAAGACTAAAAGAAAATCATGTATTGGTCCGGGCAAATCCATTATATGTAAAATAAGAGATAAATAAATCTAAATGTTTTTCATGACCTTATTGAAATCCGAACAGAAAAAAATTATAATTTTTGAGCAATTCCTAATTAAATCCTAAGGGATATGAATAAATGTAAGTACAATTGTTGGACTAATTTAATTCGTTATCTGAAAGAGTAGTTCTCATTTGAAACTATATATGTAAAAATAATTACAGATATATTAATTAATGTATTTTCAATCCAAATTAAGACGTGATTCTTAACCAACTAATCAACAGTTGGGATTTGTAGTTATTGACCAAACAAAACGAAAGAAACCCGATTCCTTTAGATTAGATCAAAAAAAATGAACCTTAGTATTATTTATTAGTAAAGTAATAGTCTTAGTAAAGTAATTATAAATTATTCTTTAATCAAGAGATTTACTTTTTTTTTTTTGAGGCGAATTAAAAATTGTTCGAATTGTATAATCGTCAATTACTGACATTGGTAAACGACCCAAAGCAATTTGATTATAATTCAATTCGTGACGATCATAAGTAGAAAGTTCATATTCTTCAGTCATTGATAAACAATTTGTTGGACAATACTCAACGCAATTACCACAAAATATACAGACTCCGAAATCAATACTGTAATTAAGCAACCGTTTCTTGCGAATATCAGTTTCCAATTTCCAATCAACAACGGGTAGATCTATAGGACATACACGAACACATACTTCACAAGCAATACATTTATCAAATTCAAAATGGATTCGACCGCGGAAACGCTCCGCGGTGATTAATTTTTCATAAGGATATTGAATAGTTACAGGTAAACGATTTGCGTGAGATAAAGTAATCATGAAACTTTGACCAATGTACCTTGCAGCTCGTACTGTTTGTTGACCATAATTCATGAACCCAGTTACCATAGAGAACATATCATTAATATATATTATGAATAATTTTATGTTTGTTTATTTCTCTTGTTTGAGACAAGTTGTAAATTTACCTTACAGTGAAAAGAGTTGGGAAGAAGTTGTTAATAATAGATTACCGAGAGAAATAGGTAAAAGAAATTTCCATCCAAGATTCAATAGTTGGTCCATTCTTAGCCTCGGTAAAGTCCATCTTGTTGTGATAGGAATGAACAAGAACAAATAAGTTTTAGCTAATGTAATAAAGATACCAATTGTCGCTCCAAAAACTCCACATGTTTTATTTATTTCAAAAAGCTCAGAAACATATATGTCCGGAATAGAGATATTCCAACCTCCCAAGTAAAGAACTGTTACAAATAATGAAGAAACTAATAGGTTTAGATAGGAAGCAACATAAAATAAACCAAATTTTATACCCGAGTATTCGGTTTGATAACCTGCTACTAATTCTTCTTCTGCTTCGGGTAAATCAAAAGGTAATCTCTCACATTCTGCTAGGGAAGAAATGATAAAAATGATAAACCCTATAGGCTGACGCCACAAATTCCATCCCCAAAAACCGTATTTTGATTGCGCCTCAACTATATCAATTGTACTTGAACTGTTAGATAATTATAGTCGGTGATACCATTACTGTTACCATCGCTATTACAGAACCGTACATGAGATTTTCACCTCATACGGCTCCTTAAAGGCCAGAAATAAATCTAAGGATCGCGTCAGTATTATTTTATCTTGGTACGTTTGTAGGATGGATAAAGTCAAAATCTATTGGACGGTCCTAAATTAGACCAATTGAATTCTGTCTGTTATAATTATTTAATAATAAATAAAAAAAGTACTTCTGAATCGATCTCACCCTTTCTTTAACTTTAATAATTTCAATAAGAATTTGAATTCTTCTTTGTTGAGTAATAACTTAATTCTTCAATAAAATACTTATTGTAGAAATATCAATAACCCGTTTATTTCACGTACGAAAAAATTCTATAATTAATTCATGAATTATGACACAAATTCTATATCTATTAATATGTATCTGGGAAATAAAAAGGTATCTTTTTTATTTTTTTATTGGAATTGGATTTCTTTCTCTTTTTTTCGTTCCTATTCTTCTTTCTATTTCTGAGAAAAAGGCGGCTTACAAAATAAAGTAAAGGATTATTTCGTTCCCAATAGTTATTTATTTAATCGGTGGATAGGAGCATACTCTGGATTGGAATCGTGTCGTGGGGAGTATTGCCTGATCATTTCTACCAACTTAAAGCCCCAATGAGTATTCTTTGTTTGTATATTATGTAAAAATGTCCTTTTGGAGAATTTACATAATCTCAATTACTAATCCTTTACATATCTTGGTGTTTCTAACCACCCACCCGTTTTTGTTCAACCCCCCCCCCTGTGGTAATACATACAAATGATAGTGAAAACTCAATATGGTTGATCTTTTGAGCCCGCTTCAAGTCAGGATGACTAATCAACCAATCTTGGGAGAAACGGTCGCTTCTGCTTATGTTTATTTCCGCTTAACTCTCTAACTCTTATACATAGAAAATGAGACTCAATCTTTTTACTGCGAATTTATATATAAGCTGTTTTCTTTCACTCATATAACTATTTGATTTAGTTCATCAACCCGAATAATGAATAAAAAAATGAAGATATCTACATCTACTTAATTCATTCCAACCCTTTCTTTGAAAGGAAGGAATAAAGAAAAGTTTATGTCTATGTATCAACGAATCGCACGTAGAGATATTGATAACACACATAAAGTTAATGGTATTTCATAACTAATCGATTGAGCAGCAGCTCGTAGACCACCTAAAAGGAATATTTATTATTTGACCCGTACCCTGACATAAGAAGTCCAATTGGAGCAATACTAGAAATGGCAATCCATAAAAAAACACCGATATTGAGATCCGCTAAAACAAGGTGATAGCCAAAAGGAGCTACTGAATAGCTTACTAAAATTGATATGACTGCTATGGATGGCCCGATACTGAATAAACGGGTATCCCCCCTAGATGGAAGAAGATTTTCTTTGAAAACCAGTTTTGCTCCATCTGCTAGAGCTTGAAGAATTCCCAAAGGGCCGGCGTATTCAGGTCCAATACGTTGTTGTATCCCTGCGGATATTTCTCTTTCTAACCATACAATTACCAGTACACCTATTGTGATTCCCAATACAAGAGTCAAAATAGGAATAAGCACCCATATAATTCCATAAACCTCTTTTAAAAACTCTAATCTAGAAAAAGAATCAATATCTTGTACTTCTGGTGTATCAATTATCATTTCAACGATCAACTTCTCCCATAATGATATCTATACTACCTAGTATCGTCATAATATCAGCCAATTTCATTCTTTTAACTAACTGAGGAAGAATTTGCAAATTGATAAAACCCGGGGGGCGGATTTTCCATCTCCAAGGAAAACCACTCTGATCCCCTATCAGAAAAATTCCCAGCTCTCCCTTTGGGGCTTCGACTCTCACATAAAGTTCTTGTTTCGGCAATTCAAATGTAGGAGAAGGCTTTTTACTAATAAATCGATATTCAAAATCATTCCATTCCGGATTCCTTTCTCTATCAAAGTATCGTATTTCTAAATTCTCATAGGGTCCCCCTGGAATTCCTTCCAGAGCCTGTTGAATGATTTTTATAGATTCTATCATTTCACCAATTCGGACTAGATAACGAGCCAATGAATCTCCTTCTTTTTGCCACTGTACCTCCCAATCAAATTCGTCGTAACATTCATAACGATCAACTTTACGAAGATCCCATTGTATTCCGGAAGCTCGCAGCATTGGTCCCGATAAACCCCAATTTATTACTTCCTCTCTACCAATAATGCCTACTCCCTCGACTCGTTCTAAAAAAATAGGATTTCGTGTAATAAGTTTTTGATATTCAGCAACTCTTGTTAAAAAATAATCGCAGAAATCCAAACATTTATCTATCCAACCATGAGGTAGATCGGCCGCTACTCCTCCGATACGAAAATAATTATGCATCATTCTCATACCGGTGGCAGCTTCGAATAGATCATATACTAATTCTCTTTCTCTGAAAATATAGAAAAAGGGAGTTTGTGCACCAATATCCGCCATAAAAGGACCAAGCCATAACAGATGAGAAGCTATACGACTCAACTCCAACATAATTATTCTGATATAGCTAGCTCTTTTAGGTACTTGAATATTTCCCAACTGTTCCGGTCCATTTACAGTTATTGCTTCTGTGAACATAGTAGCTAAATAATCCCAACGTGTTACATAAGGCAAATATTGTATAATTGTTCGGTTTTCCGCAATTTTTTCCATCCCTCGGTGTAAATAACCCAATATTGGTTCACAATCAATAACATCTTCACCATCTAGAGTAATGATGAGTCTAAGAACACCATGCATTGATGGGTGGTGGGGGCCCATATTGACTATCATGAGGTCTTTTCTTGTAGCTGGTATATTCATCGGTTTTTCCTCGATTCATTCTTTCATGAATTGCTGAAAACGAAAAAAAGTTCATTAAAATTCACGATCTAATAAATCAAATAATTCAAAATGCCTCTTCAAATTAACGGGTTTTTGACTCCCGAATATCCAACCGATTAATTAATTCTTTATAACATATTCTATTTTTCTTTGACAAATAAGACAGCAGTCGTTGGCGTTTTCCCAGAATTTTACGTAAACCTCTCTGAGATAAATAGTCTTTTTTGTGTAATTCTAAATGTGAAGTAAGTCTTCGTATCCTATTGGTAAAACTAACTATTTGAAATTCAGCAGATCCTCTGTTTTCGTCTTTTTCTTCTTGTGAAATAGCTGAGATGAATGAATTTTTTACCATAAAATGAAATCTTCTCGCCCCCCTCTTTTTATTTTAAGAAATTTTTATTGATAGATATCTTTATTGATCAGTAATAATAATGCCTCTCATTTTTATTTTGTATATACAAAAATATTAATTTTGTTATTAATTTCTAATTTTTTTTAATAAAATTAAATTTTTAATTTGTAAATTTTATTTGGATTTGAAAGGGTATACATAAAGGATGGTTGTTTTCTGCACTCACAAAAGATAAAAATTTAGACCTAAAATAATTTTGTTGATTCATTTCTAGATCAAATTGATATGTCATTGAATTAGTATCGTGTATCAGAATGGAACGATGGGATGTAAGACAATGCATGTGTGCATCTCTTTGTCGTCATAGATCAGATATAGTATGGGAAATATAGCAAAAATGTACTATTAATGCATTTTAAATCGCGGATACATATGTACCCTTACCATACTGAAACGACTGCCATTATTGGTATTAAACCAATAACGATTCATACAAGCCAAATCTTCTAATCGATAATTGGGCCAAATAAATAACTTAAATTTAATAAGTTTTTTTTTATAGTTTTTGCTTTTATCCAAAACTTGACTGTTTACCTTATTCCCATTACAAAATGCTGCATTTCTATGTCTATTCTCAGAATTGAAACAAATTAGAATTCTCAATTCTCTACGACGTCTAGGTGATAAAATATTTTCAGGAACAAACAAATCATAATGATTTTTATCTCTATTTCCAGTCATCCTTTGATGTTTTGTAATGGCTTCATCAGAATTCTTATCAGCATGTTTTTTTTCTCGGTATCTTTGATTAATTTGGTGTTTGCTTTTATGAACTAATGAAATACCGATGGTTTGATACATAATAAATTTTCCATCATTTTTTATAGATAGACGGATTGGTTCAATAATCAAAATTCCCCTTTTAATCAATTCTGTAAGAGTTAAATCTTTCTGAATCATCAGAATATCCGGACTCATTTCGCCTCTTTGAATAGAGGATATAGTAATTTCTCTTGGATTTATCAGTCTAAGCAGGAGACAATATACTTTGATGTTATTGCTTATTTTTTTATTTAAAGAATCATCCCATCTCAATTGAAAATGCAAATACCTTTTTAGGAAGAAATCAAACTCCGCTTTTGTATTGATCTTGTATTGCTTTTTATTTCTATTTTTTTTCATGTACGATCCCGTATAATCTTCTTCAACATCTTTTTCTTGGTTTGAAAGAGCTGATTTAAAATCTGCTTGGACCGCGTATTCTTTTTCCCCTTGATTTCGGTTTTCTAATTCAAAAGATTTTTTTGAATTCTCCGATATTGATATAAAAGGATCCCTTTTTTTATTTCCGGTGATGCTTTTGTTTTTACTATAATTTTCATTTATATTAGAATTTAAAACTAGTAATTTAATTGGTATAACCCACGGTTTAATTTTATACGTATTATAAAGTATCCCCAATTCTGGGAAGAACCAAAATTCCATATTTGATATGGGACAACTTAGTATTTCTTCATTCATCCCCATCCAATCAAAAAGGGTTATTTGATTGTATAGATTGATTTCTTGATCTTGCTGAATCGTGAGATAAAAAAGACCCCTCTTATTGATTTTATCAATTATTTGATACTTATTAACCCTAGTCTTAGTATATTTATTACTGTTAGTGTCAGTATCAATATCGATCCAGGCGTCAATATCGACCTTATTTTTAAGACAAAAATGGAAAATTCTCCAATCAAAAATTTTCTATCCGGATTTATCTCCATATCTCTAATATCATCTTCTACTAGATAAGGGATAATAGGAATACCTTCCGGCATATTAAATGATTTTTGTGTATGTGTGTTGTAATTATAAAAATATCTTGTTTATTTTTTACTTGTAATGGTGATCCATAAATATAAGAGTCCTTCTTATCTTCATAATTAATAGATTTATATGCTAAAATATCATATCTATATTGTTTTTTAAAATTATCTTTTTGATTCAGTAATGAATCTGTTTCGAAATTTTTTTCGTAGTTAATTAATCGATCCTTTTCATATAAATCACATAAATCTTTATTTTGAGCCATACAGTGTTGATTGAATATATTTCGCCATTTTTGTGGTACTAATCTAGACCATTTAATATGAGATACATCACATTGATACTGACTCCTTAACCAATTTGTCCATTGATTCATTCCATAATTGCGAAGATTCTTATGTCTTAATTCGGAATGAAATAGTTCTTGTGTTACAACAAAAAAATCCTTTATTTCATTCTTAAGAAAAAGAGACATTCCGTTATATTGAAATACAGATTTTAACTTATATAAGTTAATAGGTTGAGTTTGTGATAATTTGTAAAATACATATGCTTGTGAAAAGTAAGATAAGTCGCAAAAAGTCTTTGAATTCTTATTACTAATATTAGTAAATGACTTTTTTATAGTCGAAATAAAGGGAATTACACTTTGATTTGTTTTATCAATTCTTTCGTGATTTGCTTCATTATCGTTAATGTATTTATAAATAATTTTTTTTGTTGATTCAAGAAAAAGTTGTGTATTGATGCTAGGAATATTAATGATACATAGAAAGATATCTATGTATATCCTTTCAATGAAATATTTTATAAAATAATGTGACTTACGGATTAATCTAACATTTTGTCTTTTTAATATCTGCCAAATATTTTTTTGTGATTCTGATCCTTTATCATCATAACTTATTTTGTTAGAAATAAAATTTATATCTGGAGTTCCTTTTTTATTTTCTTTTGTAATTTTTTCTATTTGATTTATGATTGTATTTGTTCTATCAGTTAGATCTTGAATTTTTTTTTCTGTTAATGAATAATTTGTCCAACCCTGAGATATAATTTGAATCGACGATTCATGAATCATCCGATTACCAATTATCGAATCTTTTTTAGTTTCACTCAATTCATATACTTCTATTTCTCTCAATCCAAATCCAAATAATATAATTGGGTTTATTTTTGAGAGTTCTTTTATTATTTCTTTTATAAACAGAATGCTTTTAATGATCCATTTTTTTGTTTCTTTTGAGACATTTAGAAACAATTTTTTTTGTTCTTTTAAAATTCTTAGAATTATAAAACATTTCTTTTTCAATTTTTTAATTTTTTTTTTAGTTCTTTAAAAATGGGTTCAAAAAATGAAAGTTTTTTTCTGGGAGAACCAAAAGGTAGTTCCGTTTCCATTCCAAAAACTGTTAAAAAGCAAAAATCGTTTTTTTGATCCTTTTTTTTCATTGGATCATTATAAGGGGCTTGTAGTTTAGATCTGTGCCAAGGTTTAAGACTAAAAGGAAATAGGATCTTGATCTGAATACCGTCTGTTAACCAGTTTTTTGGAAATTCTTTTTCTGATAATTGAACGCCATTATAGGTACATTTAATATGCATTTCTCTATTCCAATCCTTTAAATCCTCAGACCATTCAGGAAATTGAAATAATAGTATACGGACTATATTTTTAGCTATTATCAATGAAGGTAATATAATATATTTTCTAAGAATTGATTGGGTTACTAACAAAAAACCTCTTAGTACTTGAGCAAGTAAAATACTATCCCAGGCTTCTGCTATTTCTATACGCGCTTTCTCCTTTCTTTTGTCTTCTTCTTTTTTGTCCTCTTCTTTTTTTTTCTCGCTTTCTTTTGTTTTTTTCTCTGTATAATCCGAAAATTCTGTGTTTTTCCGCATCCAATTTCTAAAAATTATTTTCATACGAAAAAAAAAATAAAAAAAAAAAAAAAAAAAAAAAAAAAAAAAAAAAAAAAGATTTGTCTATTCGGTCCAAAAAAAGGGGGGAATGCACATTTGCTTGAAAAAGTTTCCAAGTAACTGTTTTACGCCTTTGAGCGCGCATAGAGCCTTTGATTATGTCTCGAC